GGGGAGGGTGGCGGCGGGTCGCTGGACATGGCTCGGGGCGGCCCTGCGAGGACAGAAGGCTTTAGAAGGGACACGGGCCTGTGGCCGCGCACGGCAGTGCGGTGCTTGGGGGAGGAGGTGGCCGGTCACGGAGGGGTCCGGGGCTGGCATGGGCGGAAACAAGGCCACGGCCCCAGAGCTGGACAGGTTTTGGCGCAGGCAGCGCACCCGACGTGTGACATCTCATTGCCAGCTTCCGCGTAATGCCGACGCGCGGCCCGCGTGCCGGGGCAGTACGGGGCTGGAAGCTGCTCTGCCAAGCGCCTCGGCTGCAGCATTGCGGGCCTGAAGATGGGGAAGAGCTGCCCACAGCCCCCTCGACTCCACGCAGCAGAGCGACAGGCAACGCTGCACCCCGAGGGGACGGCAGAACCCCCAAGCCTGAGGCACAAACTCTGAGAGGCTGAGGGTGCAAACCCACAGAGAATCTCTCAAGCAAGTAAAGGTAAGACACTCTAACAGCTGGAGATGTTATTTTACACGGGGTAAAAATTCACCTGTCCTCTTCCTGGCAGCAAGTTGCTCAGAGGTCTTGACAGAGCTGAGGAAAACAATTCTTCGGTGCAACGTAGCGTGGGAGCCGCCTTACCCCACCGAACCTGCATGAAAGGAGACAGAGAGCGAGTTACAGCGATGGCGAGGAGCCACTACTACAGCCTTGGCCGCCATGCCAGAGCCCCCGCTCTGCCTGGTGCCGGTGTGGGGAGAGCGCGTCCGGGCCGGAGCCGCCTCACATGTGCCCCCTCGAGGGCACGAGGCTATGTGTCCTCAGCCTGTGGAAACACCCCACCGGCATGCTCTGGACACCAAGGGATTGCAAAATCAGGAAATCCTGTTTACTCTGGCTCAGTTGTATCTGGTAGGACGTGACTGAACTGGGAAACGAGAGGCTGTGCCCTCGGTGCCTGGGAAGGCTGCCATCAGGCATGGGACACAGTGACACTGCGGCCAGGCGCTCCCCTCGGGTCTGAGCAGCGACCCCAGTCCCTCATCCCCAACAGACCCTGCTTGGCCCGGTCCCCTTGGTCTCTGCTCTCCTCGAGGCAGGCCAGGACGGTGCTTTCTCAGCCAGTCCCACTCCTGTTTTCCACCAGGAAGAAAACACCCAGGCTACAAACCAGCCCGCAAAAATCCCATGGGCACAACCAGGGTGGCTCTGGACCCCAAGAGATGGCCCAAGCAGGCACTGCTGCCCCATTACCTGCCCCGAGGCATGACCGCAAGGCTGCCCCGCAGCCCTGGCAAGGCACAAACCTCCTGCTCAGCCCCAGAGACAAGGGGTGCTGGCATGGGGGCTGGGGGGGGCAGCACCCCGCCAGCGTCGAGGGAGGACGAGGCAGCGAGGGTCCCTCCAGCTCCGGCACCAGTGCCACGTGCTGGGCAACCTCCACGGCACAGCACCAGCATCCACGGGCAGTGGGCACTGCCCCAGCCCTGACTGCATTGCAGCTGTGCCCAGAGAGGTGCTCACAGGCCATGGCCACCTCCACCTGTGGCTGCTGGGCCAAGGGAAGCCGAGGAAGATCCATCCCTCCCCGACCTGCTTGGCTTCGCTTCATCCCACTCGGGTTCTTCTAGCAGCTGCTCCCTGCTGCCATGCAGCCTCCTGCGAGCTGGCAGGCAAGGTGAGGATGTCACAAGTCTGCAGAGGAGCACCACCACCCATTGCTGACCACGGAGCAGCACGCTGATACAGAATCACAGAACGGTAGGGCTTGGAAGGGACCTCTGTGGGTCACCCAGTCCAACCCCCC